CCCCGCCGCACCCTCTCCCTGCGCCCTCCCCTCCACGCCCCTCCCCACCGGCCTGTCCCCAGGCTCCTTTCTGCCCTTCGTTCTGTTACCCCACTTGCTCTGTGAAGCTCCTGCGTCCATTTCCCTTCCTGCTTCTTCTATTTCCCTTCCTGCTTCTTCTAATCATACGGGCCTTGTAGAGGACTGTATACCCTCTCGGTGTCAACATTTTTATCCTGCAGTTTTCACGGGATGGTGTAAAAGAGCTGGAAACCATGGCGGCCTTGGTAATGCACATGGAGATGGCACAGTAGGAAGGGGGCCGCGTGTCGCTTTCCACCCTTCCGTTTATTGATCCCAGTGGTTTGTTCTGAGGGACAGAGCCTGGCAGGGAGCCGACAGCGGGCACAATGCGCTGGGTGCGAATGCCACAAAGATTACATGCCTCACCTAGTCTCACTGCTTATTATATGTATATGTATATGTATTACACACATACACTATGTGTGTGTATTTCCCCAGTGATGTGCTTCTGCCCTAAGCGTGGCAGCAAATACCGTGTGACCGAGTCTCTGTGTCTCTTGGGGCATAGTGAGTGGCCAATAAATTACTGTGAAATGAATAATGACTCCATAAGCCTAAAAGAAACATACAGTTTTCCATCCTAGGCTGGTTCATTTCTTTGTTCTCATATAATTAGGGAGGCAAATATCTTACTTGGAAATGCACCGTGGCCTGATTTCCCTGAGATGCCTCTTTGCAATGTGACTACCGTGGCCTCGTCAGCGGCTCCCGCTCATTTAAGGGCACTCGGGAACATCCTGCTCTTCACGGTCCTCCTCACACTGGATTGCTGCTGTGCAGGAGCCGGGCCTGGGAGAGGGGACAGCAACGAGGCCCAAATGTTACCACCACATTACATTTCCCAGGGCTTCGCAAAGCTGCAAACAAAGCATTCTCTTTCCCTGAAAGGACGCTCAAGGCTACATCCTACTGCTGTGCAATAGAAGAACCTGATCGCTTGCTTGCTTGATTTTCATCAGCCCCATCTACAGCACACCCACTGATCTTTAAGAGAACCTACTGGAATCCTGTTCTCAAGGCCATACTTCCTTTAGAGCTAGGGAGGGGAACAGATGGGCGGGAGAACACGGAGGCAGCCCCACCCCCCTTCCTGGCCACGCTTAGAGACGCACGTGATGGGGCTATAAAACGACATGATTTATTCTGAGCTGGGTCCTGGGTTGAATTTGGCCCTGAGCCCGCTGAGATGTAATGAGCTCTTTCCAGGCTCAAAGTATTATCAAATCAGCGACGGGCTTCCCCCCGACAGCGCCAGAGGCTTCATAGGCATGTGAAGAGGCTTCTAGGCGTGCGCCCCTGCCTGCATTCTGCCTGGCGCTGGGTAAGTGGATCCACGCAGCTCTGAGGCCTGGGGCGGGGGGAGGTGCAGACCTCCTGTGCGCCAGCGCTCCCGGCTCCCAGGAGTCCAGAGCGCCGCCCTGGCCCGCGCCCACCGCGCTGTGCACCATGCTTACACCAATACGCACGTAGTTCACCGTCCATAATCACCAGTTACGGACACGGAGCCAGCCACGTGTGCAGCATCGCATGCAGCTTAGGGAAACCCACCAAATGGCTGTTATAAACAGGGGCTGGGTGGGAACAGGTCCAGAGGCGATAAGTTTAATCACAGGGCCCTGTGCATGTTTGGAAGCTCCATGATAAGACCCCTCCTGCTACAATGCAGGACCAAAACGAACACTTGCCAAGGAAAGGAAGCGAAGGGGAAATGTGAAACTGCACGGCCTGCGACGGGAGCTGAGGTGTGGTCTGTGGCCTCAGTGTCGGCCGCGTCCCTGCGGCCGGGTCACCGCCGCTGCGGAGGACAGTCCTTGTCAGTTTGGGGAACTGGACCATTATTATTGAAGCATTTTAGAGGTCCCTGAGATTAATTTCTTTAAAAAATCCCATTAACATTTTTATGTTATTTTCATGTTAGACGCTCATCACGTGCTGGGCCCCTCCCCTCCCCCGGGGCGTGGGCTGACCTGTGACCGG